GTCAAGTGAAACACAAAAAAGACCCAATTTTTTCTTTTGATCAGTAGGCTTAACTGACTGCTGTTGTTGTGTGTTTTATAATAATCAAGGAAGAATTCAACTCTTAGAATGACTATGCTTCGTTTATAAAATGTAATGATATAGTGATTTTGGTTTAGAATCAAATAAATAAAAAGGTTTATTCTTGTTTAAATAAGAAAACTAAGATGATACGTTTTTCATAAACTAAAAATAGAATACTCTTAAATTATTAGCAACATTAGTGTTTTGTATATTAAATAGATTGATGAAGTAAAACTGTCATGATTATCATATGATCTATGAATCAATGTCAGATTAGATTTGGATAGATGAAAACTAGAGGGAATTATTTCTTCATTAAATGTACTGATATATAGAGTGGTGAACATTTTCTACTATGTCCAGACACAATATTACTTGAAAAATTATTATTATTATTATTATTATTATTATTATTATTATTATTATTATGGTTCTAATAATCTTAGATGGATGATTTATTGACGTAATTTAAGATAAACATAACTTAATAACAATAATAATGATAATAGTCCAACACTTAAAACATCAGATTATTTTTCTTGACCATAAAAGTTAATTGTCATGTGAACTTAGCCATTAAAAAATAGTAACTATAATACGGTAGACAAACTAAAACGTTTTTCCCTACAAGTGTCAAAATTTTAAATAAAAGACAGATTTTATCCTTAAAAAAAGTATTTGTTACACACTGACATTTTGAAAGATTCCAAGGACATTACCATTGATCAACTATTTGATCATCTATTGATATATACTAGAATTAGAATAGTGATATGGATCAATTCAAGATACTAAACAGAACTTCTCGATCTAATAGATTATATGGAAGCATTATTAAACTATAAACGCAAATTCAATGACTTTTCAAATCTTTAATACTCTATAATTCATTCTTATGAGTGTGTGCTGGAATAGTATGTTGTTATATCTATATTACGTAACCATATATATTTTTGTACGTCAACATTTCATGAACAGTATCTTAGTACAAGAAATGAATAGAGATAAAATGGAAGAATTCAATGTCTGAAAACATTCAAAATACATTATTGTGAATATTTGAAAATTGTACAAATATTTTGGTCTTTTTTTTAAAAAAAAAGAGAACAAACATTCACATCATGTAAAAACTGTATACAAAAGTAATCTGTACAATGTGATGTTGAAAAGTTATGTGAATTAAGTTAAACAACTAAAATCATTGTAGACTTTTTAATAGTGGATACAAAAACGATTCGTTCGACTAGCTGTTCGCATATATCTATATCTCTATATACATATATCTGTGTACATTTTGTACACATATATTATGTATTGGATATAAATATGTATTATATTCTTGTTCTAAAGTAGTTGAATAGAAAATATTTTACAGGATATATTCATATTGGTAAAACGTGAAGATCATTGTTAAGATAGAAGATTTCTTTAGTTTGATGATAATTTTCTGTGGTTAAACAATCAGGAATATGTGAATAGTTATTATCATCTGTTAGTGGAAATCTATATCAGACATCTGTGAGCATTATCCATGACAGTTGATCATCTTATTGAAAATGTTACAAAATAACCATTATAACCCGAAGTTTCTAAGTTCAATACGAGCTTGTATAATGAGTGAACACTTTGCATAGATGAGAAACTAGGATGAAATATAAATTTATTACTATAATGATTTTTGTAAGATTATCAAATAAGAGCAATTTATGAATTGAATTAATTTCTTGAGAACTACTTAGTCTATTATTTAGTCCGATAGTTAAATCACTTGTGAAAGATTTTCCATCACTTCAGTGATAACTGTTCTAAACTATGTCAATGACATTGATTGCGTCTATTTGAACGATATCGTATATTTATTAAACAGTATTTAAGGAAAATTCAAAACATTTTCTTAAATGCTAACAGTACACAGGCAGAAGTGGAAGGTTGATGGGATATTAAATGAAATAGCTGCAATTTATTTCATCTTAAAATGTTTTCAGAAACAGTCATTTACATGTCATAAAACTTAAAAATAAAACATAGAAAGATACACTTAACCACGTTATAGCATAGAAATTGATTAGATTTTAGCTTTTTACAAAAATCTTTATCAGTCAGTTGTTTGAGGCTTGAATAAAATACACTTATCAGTGTATGGTCGTGGAGAGTGTTCGGTTTAGATTGAGATCATAAATTGATTAATGTTAGAACACCATTGATCGATTCAAGATTATTGTCAAAACTCAACAATCGTTACAACTTTATGCTGGTAATTATCATATGCTAACTAGTGACTATCATCAAGAGGTAATTCTCGGAATTTTAGTAAGAAGCCGTGACCAGTACAGCAAATCCGTGTCAAGTGTTAGGCAGTTACCCACTGAAGAAAATAGAAGATGGTTGTGTGATATCGTGGATTGGTTGAAGCTACACCTTAACACCTTCAGACGCCGAAGTTCTTGGATTCGAATCTCACACGCGGTATCGATGATGCGCACTGCCGAGAAATCGTATACTAGGATGAAACGGTCGTTCCGTGCCTCCAGGTCTTCTGTGGTACTCTAACTATGATCGATTCATGATCTCAAATAAAATGCATCTGCTTATGATAAGAAAACGCTAAAAACACCTGATATTTGCGATCGAAAATAATTAACGATAAATTTACTTAAAAGTGGGTTATTTAAATTTTTATTTCCCTTTTTTTAAATGTGATATTTTTGTGATTTGCACAATATAAGCCAGCACATTTAATAACATGATCAAATCGTTTTTTATGTACCAAAATACATTACCTACCATAATAACCGTTTAAACGTGTTTCTTATTGATATATATATATATATATATTAGATGCAATAACACATCTCTGATATATCCATATATGTTTAAGCCTCTGATATAAATGATGTTGAATCAAAAGGTACCCTTGATCACTACGGATAAGAAAACTGCTTCTATGTTCTTTTTCTTTTTGTAGGAATAATTAATACTTTCTCGTCTTTTTTTCTTTTTTTCAAACTAATTTCATTGTCACAATAACTTTACTTTGACAATTAACAGGGTTAGTTATTATTATTTGCATAGATCAACTCACTTTGACAAATATAAACTAGAAATAAAGCCATATAGTAAAAATTATTGGATGTTTACTATTTTGTATTCATCTTTATCAGATTTATGATGTCGGTATAAGGTAGAAATGGCCAAACTATTTTGTTTACTTCATGAATAATTTAATTATTACGATAATAGGATAATATGGAAGAAGAAGAAGTAGTAGTAGAAGAAGGAGAAGAAGAAGAAGACGAAGAGGAAGCCATTCTGTAATAGGATACTTACTATGAATACATATATCAATGCATATTGATACACTATTCATTTGCATATATATATATATATATATATATATATATATATATATATATATTGATATATCAACTGTTTAGACTAACATATTAAAGTTAATTTTCATACATAATTTTCCTATTTCCAATAAATCCCAAATGAAACTTTTGTGACTAAAAATAGATTGTAGATATATTCACAATACTGTACAATGCTATTGGGATGAAATGAATAACACAAAAGTTTACATAATAATAATAATAATAATAATAATAATAATAATAATAATAATAATAATAATAATAATAATAATAATAATAGTAATAAACTACACTAGATTTCATGTCAGAAAAGGTGTTCCACTACTGTTTACATTGAAAGTTGATAATCAAAAAGCAGCAAAAAAAAGAAAAAAGAAATAGGAAGTTCTGACAATAAGTTACACTGAATAAATTCGTTTAGGCAGTAGGCCAGAGATAAGAACAATCACAATTGTTCCTTCTTTTTTTTTCTAGTAAAAGTGTATTTTAAAAAAAGAAAACAATAAATAAATAAAACATGTCAGGATTGTTTATTAAATTGAATCCGATAAATCTTTTAATAAGCGAAAGATAAGAAATTCAGTAATGGCGGGTTAGTGAAATGATAACAAGAGAATATTTTTTGTTGTTGTTGTTGTTGGTAGGTTGATTATATAATTCATTATTCACTTTTTATGATATACGGTCTTTACTTAAAGTAAACTAGATTTTGACATTCCATATTATTTAGCATTGAATAGAGACATATTACATTTTTATATAAATTTTTTTAAAATCCAGGATACATAATTAGGAAGTTAAAGACGCTTGCCAGTCAGTCACAAATATATTACTTCAGTAGAAAGAATGTTACTATTTATATTATACATACATACATTATACATACTTAGGGTCTAATATCCACAAGGGGTTGAACATAAAACATAATAATTTCAAATATAACACTACTGAGATTTAATTAACCGAGTATTATCCTTATGAAGATTTCAATATTATGCATTTAAAAACTCCTATTGATCTCTAATTGTTATGTATCATGTTACTGCCACATTTAATTCATAACCTTGCACCGATTTCATGGTTTTATGTTTAATTGTCACATGGTAATTTAAATCATATATGGTTACTAGGATGATAGCAACGCAAACTCATTTAAACGTTCCATGAATTAATCAAAATAATAATGCTGACATCAATGAATTGGAAGATAAGCTATTCATCTTTAAATCGCTAAAAAAACATTATAGTGAACAGATGAAAGTATCCTTTTGGAAATGACACTTCAAGTACTGTACTTAGACTTAAAGACTGGATTCATAAGGATGATTTGAGTGAATAAAATTGTTAAAGAAGTATGCTTAAGATTAAGTATTTATGTTTTATCTTACAACGTTATGAAAAAGGGACGGGTTTGTCTGTCAAGACGATTTCACCTTCAAAATTTAAAGTAAACAAGACGTGATCTAAGGTATTTAGGTAAAATTTTTCTCATAAATCAACTTGGTCTTAATTAATATTGAATTAAATGTTTACTTTAAGTCCGTAAAATATAACTTGACTTACTTTGTGGGCTCGCACATTGAATACCAATCATTGATAAACTGAAGAACATAATAGATTGAACACATTGAGAAGATATTCGAGAGCTGCGTTTTGATAATTGCTTCATTGTTTTTAACAGGTTATAACCCGTAGTTTCTTCCGGATTAAACTGATGTTTGTATATGATTGGTAAACTTTATGAGATTAATAGATAATTATTTTGCATTTACCAACACTATAAGATACATTTTCATATTGACGACGATGAAGATTGTAAGTGATCATTAATATAAATCTGTAAGCGATAAAATGCATAAATCACATTGTATTATCCACATGAGCTTTACATAAATCATAAACATATGAATATTATTTATATATTTTCACAACCATCCATAACTAGATAACAAATAAATGACACTATTCCTTGAACTATTTTAAAATTTTATAGATTGAATCAATAGTATTCATATTTTTGATATGATTGTATTCTAACTAATTAAACTATTCAATTACTGTTGATTAGACTTTAACATAAGCGAATTTACCGCAAATTTTTCAGGAGTTAAATTTCATTGGTCAGTTCAATTGTTAAGATTTGAATATTTACAGTTTGATTGGACAATTTATAGTTATTTAGACAAGATTAATTATTATTTGATTATTAATGATAATTATGATAAGTAAAGAATATTTTTGTATATTTAAATGAATAATTTCAAGACTTCATGTCTTGATCTCATTAATTTTTGATTGACTTCCTATCAAAATTAATCATTTGAATGTAGAAGAAGAAACCTTATCTCAAAGGATAGAGTTATAGTTTGTGTTAATATTCTGTGCAAATGTATTATTTATTGTATGAAAGCCTTAATTAGTAATTCGTCAGCTAGACGTAAATTTATTATTATTACTATTATTACTACCAAATACTTTATGTACATTGTGAATGTTTTAGAAAGAACTTGTATATATGAATATCATAATGGGTAGATGTTTATATATATATATATATATATGTAGTGAGCGAGGACTCAGGTGGAGAAAACCAATTTATTATTCAATGCAAAATTACAGGGTGTGTTCACATAAAATATGAAGACCATATATTGAATACATTATTTGTACATCTTCCATTAGTTGTTTTTTTATATGCCTAATGCTTATTTTAATTATATTGTTATATACAACTGCTCTCTGTCTCCCTTCCTGTTTGCTTTAATACAATCTTCTCAATCTTCTGCTTGCAGGCATCCCACTTGCAATTTCTGTTACATTCTACGTATATCTATCAATATAAATAGCATGAACTATAAATATGTACTCTATAAATTATTTTGTAAATAACTTGATGCTTTACATTTATTTGTGTGTTGATTATGCAATACTGTGTTGATGCTTTGTCAAGTGTTCATAGAATAACTAATTTCCTTTGTACTAATGAATATTTTATCTCATGCAACTATTCACATCCTTTTAAAACCATGACATTGATCACTTCTATTAAACATTATTTCGAAACCATGTTACTCATGTTTTATTGTTACAATATTCAGAGTCTAACCTCTAATTAATTTTTTAAAGAATTTAAGTAGTATTCCGTACAGCAACCATAATTTTATTATATATTTTTTAGTTAGGAGTATAGATTTTCCCATTAATAAGAGGTGTTGATGTCAGTGATTCTATGTAATAAGATCAAAAGGTATACAGTGTACAAGTTTTTAAAGTTTCTAGATACAAAATTAATACACGATCACTTTTAGTTGTACTTGATCATTGACATCAAAAACTGTTTATTCTCTTTGGTAAATTTAAAAATTGATTATTCGGTTCATCACATATTAAGCGTTAATATACTACTTAATATTTGATATGCTTCCTGACACATACCATTTTCTTGATTTCGAGATTTCATTCAGCCGAACGTGGCTTTATTATCTTGTCCCAATGTTTTCTTTTTTAGAAAAAGCAATAATTTTTACGTTCTTTAAATCTCACACATTTCATGTTTGATATTTGTTTGCCAAAATTTCAACCTGATAAGAATCTTAATAGTCTGAACTCAACAACTTATACATCATCCTGTATCTATAATCTGAATAACGACAAATAGTGCGTGTGAATACTGTGTGCTTTCTTCAAAAAATTCGTGAGAAAAACTGAGAAACAAAGATTTCCGGGGTTTTTAACAATATATGAATGATCTAATCACGAAAATGAAGTTTGAATTTGAAGTTCCATAATAAGTTTTTATTTCGAAAACCGTATATGTTATAATACAATCAGCCTAAAACACCATACTCAATTCAAGTGCACAGATTTTGGTGAATGCGACATGTGAACACATGGAGATTAAATCCATACATGTATCTATTTCAACTAAGAGTGATAAAAACTGTTCGTATAACATCTAGTTTCAAACTGTTTTGTTTCACGCATTTCCTGTTACGTGAACACATCAAATCTAAATAATTTCGGTGAATTTTTTAAACTACTTAAATTTATTTAAGTAAATACAAATTTATAAGAAATATTTACATTTTCATTATAGCTGGAACAAAGCAATGACTTGACCTATTTGAAAACCAAAGAACAAGTAAGTCTTTAAAACAGTATAAACCATGTACTTATGCATGAATATTAGTTTACATAGACTCTGTAGCAATAACATCAATGATCAATCATTTTACTGAATTAAAAGAGTAATTGACCATTGAAAAAAAATACAGAGGTAAAGTTTTATGAATCGGCAACTCTTCAACATTGAAAATGCTTTATAAAGAATCCATCTTCATTCAAACCAATGATTTAGTGACATGTTCATTTAAAAGAATTTTTCATTCGGTCCCGATTATTTTTCATGCCACTGAATACTGGTTCAATTGGAACATTAAACAAATTAAGTGTAAAAGATTGCTAAAATTACTAGCCAATTCAATTAAAGGTATCAATTTAGTTAACTGTTGTAAAAATCTATCTTGCAGTAACCTAATGAAGAATAACTTTTAATCAATTTTCTCTTAGTTGTATATACGATGGTATAATTCATGCACATCTCCCGAACTCTTCGCTGTATTTTCAGATTTGATAATACAAAAACTGTTTTACTGATGCATTGACTAATCCGTAATAAAAACAACTGGATTAAAGTTTGTAAAATCGATACATTTCATAATAATTTAGTAAAAAAATAGCATTTAATCACCATTTATGATCGACATAATTGCCTTCCAAATAATGACAAGACAATAAGTATTAAAAGACAATAAATTATCTCATATAGACAAGTTTTACCAAAATTGTAAAGCCACAGAACAACCATAAATTCTATTTATTTGAAACCAATTATTCAAGAAAAAACTATACTTTACTTTTTATTTCGTGGTTGTCAAGGTGAAAATATAACTCGAGAAACATAAATACACTAATCTGTTCAAAAGATAGAATAACCCATATGGTCTTGACATAGGACTAGACACCACAATCTCTGTGTTTGCTAAAAAAACAATGTATCAAACAAGTAATCATCTGAAAAACGTCAATAACGATTCATGTTAAAATAACATCATTTACCGTAGTATTAAAGTTGTTAAAATAGCTTCTTGAGATTAGTCCATTCAGATTAATTTTATCATTTTAACTAAATAAAACATACTGAGTCTTATATATATGGCCTCATTCGTTTTTATATAATAATAATAAGTTAATTAATTACTGTAAGTTGTAGTGCAGTACAGAATTCTCATCACAATTGCTACATCATTACAACAAATATCTGTTTGAAAAGAGTAAAAACAAACATTCTAGCAGAATAAGCAGAGATGGATAGTGGCTAGCAGTGGAATCCAGGACGCGCGTTTCGTCCTGTTTGGGACTCGTCAGCTGGATGTACCTGCATCTCAGAGTTGATGTTCACTCTGGGACTCGAACTCAGTACCGTTCGCTTCAAACGCCATCGCGTTATCCACTTAGCTACTGAGTCCTGATAGCCACTTGCTTGTGCAATAGGGTGAAGTTTAATTCACTTGATATTGTTTTATTTGAATAAGAGACTGATCAACTTCAGTCCTACAACATCAATGGGAAGATTCAAATAAAACAATATCAAGTGAATTCTAGCAGAATGTTAGAATGTTTGCTAGAATGTTTGTTCTTGCTCTTTTCAAAATGATAAAAGGAAATATGTATATGAAATATCTGTTTATTACATACACGTTAGAATTACTCAAAATACATGTATAAAAGGTCTTCAATTGATGTAGTTCTCTTTATTTTTAGCTTCTAGAACTGTTTTTCTATCCATCACATCAAAAAGACCACAATTTCAATTTATATGTTTTCCGTTTTATCAGTGGATAAATGAAACAAAAAATATACCATGAAGTGCAGTGTTTCTGTTTAAATCTTTCACTATCTAGTATCGTTACAAAATTTGACCGTACCAATAATAAAAGCACGTTAGTACACGTAACGTTATTGCTTATCTATATTAATTTCAATAAAATCCGAAAGAAGTAGATTAGTTGGGATATTTAGACAGAAATATAAACATGGATGGGATATTTTGTAATGATATATATATACAACATATCTACAGATTTAGCTTGTGTTAACTGTGTTACTTTTTGTAATAGAGAATGTCATACGAATATATACAGCTTTGACATGAATGACATAACATTAGTATGATCTGTCGTGTTTCTATTGTATAAAATATTTTGGTGTTTTACTCTTTATTCTATTTGGACTTGTAATTTATTTCATTTGTTAATTCGCTGCAGAAACGAAATACATAAAATTCTAGAATGTCAAAAATTCGATGTTCAACAGTTTGAGATATTTAATAGTTGAATTCATGAGTCAATCGAAGCTAGATCATCACGGAAAACCTGTTAGCACTAGACGGCCGTTTCATTTTAGTATGGGACTCCTCAACAGTGCGTATCCACGATCTAGCTCATGGGATTCTAACCCAGTATCTATCAGTCTCGCTTGTAATCACTTAACCTTCAGACTACTGAACCGGCATCCAATGGTATTAATGTCGAATTTTAACCAATCCACGAGATATTACAAATATATTACTGTATTATGATTAAGCATAACTACAAAGTTTCAAACGAT